TTTAGCCCTGTCAAAAGTATAGAGGAATTCATGATGCAATTTACATTTCAAAAAATTTACTCATTCATTTTTTTGATTTACTTAACATATTTTGAGTATGGACTATGTTATACATTTGCTGAGTGATGATAAATGTAATAAAAATTTCATGATACTACGATGTGATACAGGATGTGTGCAATGAATGCGGCTGGCCCAGAGGAGCAATTGATCCGTCTGGAGGAACTGAACATCTGGGGGTGGGGGGGAGTCCCCTAGACCTGGAAACAACTAAAAAAGAATCTCAAAAAGGTAGAATGCTCTTCTTTCCCTAGGGAACACAAGGAACTGATCCTACTGATATTCCCACCCGGTGGCCTCCCCACCCCACCAACCATGCACACACCAGGTATGTGGGGCCTGGCGCTTAACATACATTCAGGCACGTTAAATACAGCCTCCAACTGTTAGCTGGAACTAAGTCATAAAACTGGAATCCCAAAAGGGCAGCATTGTCCATGAATTGAGAAACAAGAAAAACAACCCAAATCTCTTTGAACATCTGTGCAAGAAAACAACAAAGAAGCACATAAAAGCTGCTCTGTGTGGGGGAGGGAAGGGAAGAAGAAAAATTGGTCTGATCAAAAATTATAACCCATACTTGGAAATTAATTTCTAAGGGTAAGGTAGAGTGGAATTAACATGATAGACAATGTACGATATTACACCATGCTAATAGATATGATAGTAATTATTATGTCAATAGGTGATAGAATAATCTAAATGAGATCATAAAAGGAGTATGTTTACAATGACTAAAGGAATAAAGGAAGATATAGCAAGCATAATGAAAAAAACAACAGAGGAGCTTGGAAAAGAAAGATTTTGAAAATTTAGCAATAGTCTTTTAGAAATGTGAATGATAATGATTGAAACAAGCAGTTTAAACAACTGATGGGAAAATTGATAAAATATATGATAAATCTAAGGGAATTACCCCAAATACAGCATATGAAATATTAAATATTAAGGTTAAGAAATTATGTTTAACCCTTTTATATGTATTTAGTTTATTTGATGATTTTATTCACATCAACTTTTCTATTTAATGTCACTGTGCCGTTTTCTTTCTGTTATCTCTTTGCCATCTGAGCTTTTCCTTTTTGCTTTTATATTATTTATATCCAATACCAGATTTTTAAAAATATCTTAAATTTTATTTAAGATAAGTCAGCTAATTAATTTTATCTATTTATTTATTTTGTTAAGAACATGTGAGTAGTACATTTTTGTGAGTCCTTATATATATAAAAAAGGAAAAACTCCTTTGTTGGGTGATAAGCCTTATTCCACAATATCTTCCCTTCAAAACTGTAAAGGTTTTAGTCCATTTTTTTCCCTTCGATATTTAGAATGAGGCTGAAGCTAAACTGATTTTATTCCTTCTTACATTAACTGTTTCTTCAGAATGGATGCTGATAAGATTATATCTTATTTGAACAGGCATTTCAGTTTTCCATGTTGTGTCTAAGTATAGTTTTATTAATAAATTTTGTCTAGTAATCATTCAGTACTTTCTAACTCAAGGTTTTAATCAACCTCAGAACACTAAGTTCAATGAAGCCTTTGATTCTTCCTTTATGGCTTTGTTGTCTTCTTTGTTGGTACCTATAATTATAAGGTTACATCTCTTCAAGTAATTTCTTATCACACTTTGTCCCACGTGATTTCTTATCACACTTTGTCCCTTTTCATCTCAGTTTGTCATCTTCGTATCTCATCCTGTTGTGCTTTCTTTATTATTTTATTTTTAAGTACAGTTTACATTCAATATCATTTTCTATTTCATCCTGTTGTCCTTTTATCTTTTCCTGGTCTATCCTGATGACTTGGAAATTTTGTTTCCTGGACACTACTAAATGTACAAAATGAAACTCTATGATATTCTTCAGGTAACTGTAATTCTCATTATTCAAATTTCTGTGAAAGTCAGGATGATGTTTTTTCTTCATTTTTGTTTTTTTGTTCTTCTTCTAAAATCTTGGTGTTGCTAGGTATTGTTTCTTTTCCCTTATGACACCAAGTAGGATTTTTTTTCTTATCTTTAAATGAATAGTTGTCTGTCCATTTTCAGTTCGTTAGTCATTTCAATCTCTTTCTCAGATTTGGCTGGCAGATCCATGTTCATAATTTTTAAACCTACTTTTGGTGTTCAGTCATTTTTCCTGAGTATAATTCCTCTGGACTCGGGCGTAACCTCCTCCTCCCTGTGCTAACTGGATGTCCTGTGCTTTGACTCGACTGAGTACACAAAATGTGCCGCCTCAGCTTGCATTTCTGTGAGGGCTCTGCTTGCCTCTTTCTGTATCCCTGCACTTGTGGGAATTTCAGTTTTGACAATGCCATGGGATGCCTCCAACTTCCCTCTGCATCCCGCTCTGTTGTTTCTGAGGGATGTGGAAATATAACAAAGGAGGGGCAAAGAAACACTGATCTAATCCCTTCTAAAAATTATTTGTGTATTATGGAGATACATTTATATTTTCAGTGCTATGTATAGACTATGGAATTAGATAACAGGGGATAGGCAAATTGTTACTTCTACCATCTTTCTGGCAAATAGAGCTGCTTTGTTTTATGATGTAAAGTACATATGAGTCACAAATTATCTTTATAAATCCTTTGCTATCCACCCTACAGACAGTAGACTCTAGCAACAGGTTACCAGTCAGTATCAATTTTTATGGTTAGGTTCTTATCTTTAAAAACGGTGTGTGTGTGTGTGTGTGTGTGTGTGTGTGTGTGTGTGTGTGTGTTTGAGGATATTTAAAAAATAATATCTTAATCTATTAGACTGATACATGTTTTAAGAGCTTCTGGATATTTCTGCTTTAAAATCTTACTTTACCATGACATACAGGCACATAGATTAACTAAGTTGCCACTTAGGATGCGTATTATACATCTTTCTGGCAAATGGAGCTCACACACACATTTATCCCAGGTAACAAAAGTATGTATAACTGGATCGTGTCTAATTTCTAGGTTCTCTCTCACTTATCTAATTAGGGAAAGTTTGGTTCTTCTCCCAGCAACAAACCAACACTCCATGATTGTCAGCTTCCTAAACTGCCAACATGGTGGGAAAGAGCAAATGATACACTTCCCAGTGCTTAGCCTTGCAGCTTCAAACTAAATAAATGATGGCTGCATTGAGTCATGATCAGAAATAGAGCTATGTGGCTGATGTGGCTCAATGGTTAAGCATCAACCCATTCACCAAGAGGTCACCAGTTTGATTTCCAGTCAGGGAACATGCCCAACTTATGGGCCAAATCCCCAGGATAGGGCATGTGGGAGGCAGCCAATCGATGTTCTTTCTCATCGATGTTTCTATCTCTCTTCCTCTCCCTTCCTCTTTCTAAAAATCAATTTAAAAAATTTTTTTTAGCCCTGGCCGGTTTGGCTCAGCGGTTAGAGCATCGGCCTGCGGTCCGAGAGACCCGGGTTCGGTTCCTGCTAAGGGCATGTACTTCGGTTGCAGTTTGTCCCCGGCCCTGGTTGGTCGTGCGGTGGCAGCCACTCGATGTGTCCCTTCACGTCGATGTTTCTCTCTCTCCCTCCCACTCTATCTGTACAAAAAATGGAAAAATGTCCTCGGGTGAGGATAAAAAAAAAAAAATTTTAAAGAAATAGAGCTATGTGAGTCTACACCCAAGTTTTTACTACTTGGTACATATAGGTAGTTGTAAAAGTTCTTTTTTTGTTGTAGTTAATCCTCACACGAGGATATTTTTTCATTGATTTTTAGATAGAGTGGAAGGGAAGAAAGGATGGGGAGAGGGAGAGAAAAAGAACATCGATTTGGGAGAGACACATCGATTGGTTGCCTCCCAAATGACCCTGGGGCTGGGTATCGAACCACAACCTAGGCACGTGCCCTTGACTGGGAATTGAACCCATGACCCTTTGGTCCAAGGGAATTGAACCCATGACCCTTTGGTCCAAGGGCTGACACTCTAACCACTGAGCAAAACCAGCTAGGGAAGTTGTACAAATTCTTAATCTTAATCAGTCTTCTCACTAATAAAATGAAGGTGAGGTAGTGAGGTGATTGGATGAGATAATAATGTACATAAGGAGCCTGGGGCATGGTAGTTTCTCAGTTAATAATAGTTATATCAGTTAAGTGTCTGAATTCATTTCTTCTTCTGGTTTTTCAAAGAAAAAAAGTTATTTTTAGAACCAGAGAATAGAAAGATTCCCTTCTGCCCTTTTCAATGGGAAAAGAAAGTAAGTTCGGTTTTTGGTTTTTTTTTTTGCATTTATTTTCAGATAGAGCAGGAGGGAGAGGGAGGAAGAGAGAGAGAGAAACATCAATGTGAGAAAGACACATCGAGTGGCTGCCACCCACACGACCCCAACTGGGGCCTGGGACAAACTGCAACCGAGATATGCGTCCTTAGTGGGAATCGAACCTGGGTCTCTCTGGTCCGCGGGCCAACGCTCTAACTGCTGAGCCAAACCGCCCAGGGCAAGAACATAAGTATTAAATAAAAGAACAGTAATTTAGATCAGGATTAGTATTAGTGTACCCTAGTTATTGGTAGTATTTATTTCCAATTACATTTCTAGCTGGTAATTCAATATACATTTGTCTTACTGGCAGGAATTTTATTTAATTAGGAGAGGAAGAAATGCACCTATATAGTAAATATAGACTCAAATTTAAGGTTAATCTTTATCCTACATTAACAAAGCACTCTTAAAAAGAGAAATTAAAATCACCATACCACATCTTTGTACTTAACCATATCAAATTCTTTGAAAGCCAGGATTAATTTTACCTGTTTTGTATCATATACCATAGTTTTGGGTCCATGAAAACTAAAATCATTACCCTTTGTGGATCCACATTTTATTTCTATATTAAAAATACAAAACATTTGATTATATTTTCCAATCATTTAAGTTTCTTTGTTGACCATCAAGTCAGTGAGAGATATTAGGATTTAACTCACCAGTTGAGGTGTAAAGGTATGATCCTTTTCGTTGTCGTGCTAACTGTTCTTCTATGATCGATCTCAGACCCCAAATTCTTTTTCTCAGGGTGTGAGGAACAAGGAAGGAATACAGTGACCGGCCTCTGGAAAGGATGGGTTGATGGGTGCCGAACATGAAGCAGAGGGCTGGTGGCGAGCACTGCGTAGGAAGTATCTTGCTGAGTTTTTAAATATGCCACCAGAGATGGGTCGACCGGTTGGATCTAAACAAACAACAACAACTATGTATATGTGTGTATTCCAATATTTTAATACCAAAGATGTAAAGCATCAGCACATTTCTAAACCAATCTTCTGATAATTTGAAGGAACATAGTTTTAATACAGTTTTCTATACATTGTTGGCTGAATCAACACTAGATTCATTTATAAAAGAGCACAGCAGTTAGTCTCTTTTTACAAAGTTTTCCTGAGATGTAGGTTCCCTGTTCTTTGTTATAAATAACTGGGAAACACTCTGAGAAGCCCCTGGGAGAGGGCTGAGGCCAGAAATACAGGGAATAAGGAGGAAACATATCTTCTAAAGTGCACATTGATACATCATTGTTCACCTTGCAAATAGTGTTTGTATATATTGAATTCTTAAAAATGCCTTCCCAAGAAGGACTGCTTTATAATTAAATGTAGCCAGATTTTCAAAATTATAAATATTTTAATTGATTAGCCTCGTTTTGTTGTAGGCAACAAAATGACCTAGAAAACAAAATAGATGTTTTTCATAATTTCTAATCAAAACTATTGTAAGATTAAGGAATCCTTAGAAACTAGAAAAACAACATTATATTTACTTAAGTGTTTTGTCTCACATAAGAATGGCTAATAATAAAAATAGCTAACATACTTCCAAAATTTCAAAGTTTATGAAAAATATTTATAAAAATTAATTATTCATGTTATTTTTTTTCTAAATTTCCTTCTTCGCTTACCTTTTATGGTAACAACTGGGAGAAGCAGAATCCCCGGGAAGAGAGCTGAGGCCAGAAGTACAGAAAATAAGGAGGAAACATATCTTCTAAAGTGCACGTTGATACATCATTGTTCACCTTGCAAATAGTGTTTGTATATATTGAATTCTTAAAAATGCCTTCCCAAGAAGGACTGTTTTATAATTAAATATAGCCCTGGCTGGTTTTGCTCAGTGGTTAGACCGTCGGCCTGCAGTCCAGAGAGACCCGGGTTCGGTTCCGCTAAGGGCATGTACCACGGTTGCAGTTTGTCCCCGACCCTGGTTGGGTTGTGTGGATGGCAGCCACTCGATGTGTCCCTTTCACGTCGATGTCTCTCTCTCTCTCTCTTCCTCTCTCTCCCTCCCATTTTATTTGAATAAAAAATGGAAAAACGTCCTCGAGTGAGGATAAAAACAATTTATAATTAAATATAGACAGATTTTCAAAATTATAAATATTTTAATTGATTAGCCTCATTTTTGCCTCTTAGGAGGAAATCTTGAATCATATGAATGCCCTGACATCAGTTCTATCATATCGTTAATAAATGTCATAAGCAAGCCCAGCTGGTGTGGTTCAGTGGTTGAGAGTCAACCCATGCACCAAGAGGCTGCTGGTTCGATTCCTGGTCAGGACGCATGCCCAGGTTGTGGGCCAAATCCCCAGTGGGTGTATGCTGGAGGTGGACAATCAATATTCTCTCTTGTGAGATTACATATGCTCCCAATCACCGCTTTATTACTAATAACACTACATGTTAGGTGATTAAAAGTATCAGAGAAGAATTCATTTACAATTTCATTAAATATTTCCATCTTCTTCATCTTTTAGGACCATGTCTGATGACCCACAAAGTCTATAAGAAGGAAATCACTAGTTGTTCACATTTACCTTTAATTGTACAAGTACTGGTGAGCTGAACACTCCTGGAGGGTAATGCAAGGACATCCGGGAATCCATGCTTGGCTTGACAGTGAGGCCTTTCTTTGTCACTGTGAAGGACTCTTTCTTTAAACAGGACACAACAGAGAAGATTCCCAACTTGTAAACGTTCACTTCGGCACAGGTGCCCTGTATAGATCGAAGGGCATTAAGACAAGGACATTAACACAGACTGTCCTGGGAGCACACACTGTACCCACTTTGGCTGTGACTGAACACTCTATGCTGCCCCTGTAATTGCCCACAGTGGAGCACAGATAACCTGGAGTCTCTCAGTTTTGAGCCCCATGATAGAAAAGAAAGAAATCAATTCATCTTTTATTTTATTTTATATATTTTTTATCCTCACCGGAGGACACTTTTCCAACTTTTGTTCAGATAGAGTGAGAGGGAGAGAGAGGAACGGAGAGAGAGAGAGAAACATCGATGTGAAAGGAACACATCGAGTGGCTGCCACCCGCACGACCAACCAGGGCCGGGGACAAACTGCAACCGAGGTACATGCCCTTAGCGGGAACCGAACCCAGGTCTCTCAGGACCACAGGCCGACGCTCTAACCGCTGAGCCAAACCGTCCAGGGCCAATTCATCTTTTAATTTAAAATAAATTCCAAAGAGAAAATGCATATGTATAATGGGCAATCACATTCAGGATTTCTAACAAATACTAATTACTTCTGGAATCCTATCCTCCTTAGGTTAAGCCAGAATGAACTTCAAATATTGGCCTTTACCCAGAAGATTCAACACTGCTTTAGGAGTTCCAAGGACTGAAATTTCACCGGGCAATTTACGTACACATTATAGCACCTGTACTGTCAGCAAATTCTTCCTGCTGACAATTCGCAATCTCTTAGTCAAGTCCTTTTCTCTATTTCTGTCCTCCCTGCAATGGAAGCAGTTGGCTACAGAGACATTCGTGTTTCTTTTTCATAGAGCCACATTTAAATTTGTAATGCATATACGCAGGCACATATTTAAGCTTTTTTATATCACACAAAAGGAACTGTACATAGATGAAAACAGAATTACCTATTCATATAATCTCTGAAGCTTAAAATGAGAAGGAAGATTTAGAAGTAATTTGATCTATTCATGCTTTTCTGAACACCAGCCGGCTCCGCCCTGGCATGAGTGGATAATTGTGCCGGCATACACACAAACATTTCAGGGACAGTCACAATGCAAAATAATCTACCATTTGAAAACTGACTAAGGAAAAGATTTCGCAATATCACTGCATGAATCCGTCTCTGGGAAAATTCAGGGCATGATGAATGTTCCCAACTGGCTGGAGGGAAAATGGTGAGAGGTAAGAAAGGAAGGTGTTCTGGGAACCAGGGGTGGTTGGCTTGCACTTCAAGCACATTTGGCAGATGCTGGGGAACAGGAAGGGTTGTTAACCAGGGGAGTGTCATGAACAGAGCGCTGATGGAGGTTCATCCGCCTCCAGAATTGGAATTCTTAAACATCGTATAAACCACATAAACGTTTGGGAAGAAAAGAGAGTTTAAATTGTCTTGAGCTAAAAATATGGATACCTACCATTAGACATTAGAATACTGTAAACAAAAACAAAAAAAAAGTCTATACTTTTATTTTTTCCAGTAGACAATGGTTCTCTCTCTCCTTTTTTTTTTTTTTTTGCTTCGATTATTCATTTGCTAAACATCTTGTGTAACCACTTTGTGAAAAGCATGTGTACCTGAGCACTTTTTGCTTTTACATCAAACAAAATGGCCAAGATTAAAAAGCCCCAATCAAGAGCTGTTCTACTGATAGGCTTCCTAGAAAAAATATAAAATATATCGGTGGCATGAGTTGTAGTAAATAATTAGAACAGGCTTAGCTTTCATGTTTAACTGTATAACCTTATTTGTAACTCAGAAAAGACCAAACCAGAAAAGGTAGACATGTGTTATAAAGAATTTCTTGTCTGCCTAGAACTTTTTTACACTTATTCCCTGCCCCTCTCTTCAAATAATGACAATTTACAGAAAGCTAAAACGACAAATATTGAAATTGTTTCAAAGTACATTCACTGGCCCACAGAAGTACCGCAAACCTTTGTTCCCATCAAATCCATGCTGTTTAATAATTGTGTGTATTCTTTCTTCAAAACATATGGATTTGTGACTATAGAGGTCCTCAGAGTTATACAGTGTACCATGGGAAAATGATCATTTTTGACTCCTAGCATGTGTGTTTAGGCTTTCTCTTATCGTAAGTGTACAATATTTTCTCATTTTGTCCTTATGGCCCTACCAGGTAGACACTATTTTTTGTTCATCATTCAGATGAAGAAACTGAGTTAGAGCAAGGTTACAGAATTTACTAAAGTTCACATAGCGAGAAAGTATAAGAACCACATTTGAACCCTTCACAACTCACATCCTAACAGCCACATCCACTGCTTCCATGTGTGGGCTAAACACGATACGGACTCAATAACTATCTCAGGGCAGACACACACAAAATGTTCCTTTTAACATTTTGTCCCAGCCCATGAATGATAAAAATAAAGATACCATCTCATCTGGGGAGTCTAACGTTCTCATGTGTTGCAGAGGTCCATCACAGTGAAAAGGTTGGTCTAAAGCTAGCCTAACCAAGTTCTCCATTCCTAAATTTGGCCAGTAATTTCTGTTCTTTGATCCTTGTGGATGGCAAAAAAAAAAAAAAAAAAGTGTGAATGTGCTCGCATAAATTTGTCAACCTTGTGATTTGCTACCAATGAGTGATTATATCTATACTGCAATCTGATTGTCTAAGCAATATTTAGAAGAGGAGTTAAACAGCAACTGTAGATGTACCCAGTGATTTACCAACCTTGGAACTTCCTCTCATTCTTTCCAGTGAACTCGGGGTTAGGTAACTCGATGGAAGGTTTATGTCAGACACTTTCACCATGATGTCTTTGTAATTTCCCCTGTAACGCGCAGTAAATGGAATTGCAATGCATATTGGGAATGGAATTCTCATTTCCATATCTGAGCACTGGACAGTGATGACATTGCTGACCAACTCCTCGTTATCACTCACTATTAAAGAACTCATGCTGTTAGTTATTCGGCATTCCAGATGTTGTAGAAGGTATGATGGTGCTGTGATGTAACAAGACACTTGGGGGCCTGCATCATCGCTCAGCACATCAAGATACCTGCAGGGGAATAAAGGGACATCGTTTTTGCAAATATCTGATTTATGTATTGTATGGGTAAATATATAAGAACCTAAGCTCTAGGGTCACACTGCCTTCATGGGAACCCAGTTCTCCCACTTAGCTGACGCTGTGACCCTGGGCAATATATTCACCCTCTCCGAGCCCCAGCTTCTTCAACTACAACATGGTAGTAAAATAATAAGCAAGTTCATAAGAAGGCTGTGAGAATTAAATAAACTACTACTTGTTAAATCATTAGACATCTGTGCCTAGCTCTGGCTGGTGTGGCTCATTTTGTTGGGCATTGTCTCATGCACCAGAAGGTTGACTGTTTGATTCCCGGTCAGGGCATATGCCTGGGCTGTGGGCTTGATCCCTGGTAGGGGTTTGCAGGCAGCAGCAATCAATGTTTCACTCTCATATTGATGTTTCTCTCTCCGTCCCCCTCTCCCTTCCTCTCTGTCTCTAAAAACCAATAAAAATATATAATTTTAAAATCTGTACCTAGATCATAGTATTATATGTTAGTTATTTTATTGTTGCTACTATTATTAAAGTGATTGGCCCTGGCCGGTTTCTCAGTGGTTAGAGCATCAGCCCGTGGACCAGAGAGTCCCGGGTTTGGTTCCTGCTAAGGGCATGTACCTTGGTTGTAGTTTGTCCCCGGCCCTGGTTGGGTCATTTGGGTGGCAACCACTCGATGTGTCTCTCTCACATTGATGTTTTTCTCTGTCTCCCTCCCATCTCTTCCTCCCTCTCTATCTGAAAATAAAATGCAAAAAAAAACAACACACAGCAAAAAGTAATTGACTCATTCCTCAGTTTTGTTTATGCCACAATATAAATCTGAAGATTGCTGAAGTTTCTTTTTTTGTTTTAAACCTTTTTTTTTATTATTGATTTTAGAGAGAGAGGAAGGGAGAGGGAGAGAGAGAAATACTGATGAGACAGAACATTGATTGGCTGCCTCCTGCATGCCCCCGCCCCCCCATGGGGACTAGGCCCATAACCTGGGCATGTGCCCTGACCGGGAATTGAACCAGTGACCTCTTGGTGCATGGGTCAACACTCAACTGCTGAGCCACACCAGCCGGGCTGAAGTTTCTTGATAAACCAAATACTACCACCTGAATAGTTTCTTAACTTGGGGAATAAATGTATATCTGGTATTGGAATTGTCTAAACACATTAGATCAAATGATGATGTTAATTTCATTTTTTAGAAAAACTGAGAAAGGTACAAAAGTCCTGTGCACTTATGACTAATCAAGGTAATTAGAAACAGAATATTTGCAATCCTCAAGGAATCAATCTAAAAGTATATTTTGACCAAAAGTTTATTTTGATTATTTATGTTACTCTTGCTTTTTTTTTTTTAATCCTTACCTGAGGGTATTTTTCTATTTATCTTCAGATAGTGTGGGAGGGAGGGAGAAAGAGGGAGAGAGAGAGAAACATGGATGTGAGAGAGACACATCAACTGGCTAACTCCCGCATGACCCTGACCGGGGCCAGGGATGAACTGCAACAGAGGTAAGTGCCCTTGACCGGAACTGAACCTGTGACTTTGGTCCAAGGGCTGATGCTCTACCACAGAGACAAACTGTCTAGGGCTACTTTGGCTTTTTATACCATCACTTTGGCCAAAGATTTTATCATCTTATAGATTTTAATTCAAATTTAAGATCAGTCACTTGCTGTTTGTTTAACCTTAAACATCAGTACTTATTATTAAAATAGCTAATATTTTAGCCCTATCAATGAGCCAGGTTCTAAGCTATACATTATTTCATTTAATTCTCAACAACTGGGGTCAGGCAGGTATATTATCACCATTTTACATATAGGGTAACTAATGTTTAAATTTTTTAACTTGCTGAAGATTACAAAGATGGGAAGTTGTAGAATCAATAATTGAATCCATCTATCTTTAATGCAAAAGCTCAAACTTTCTAATATAATATTATACATCCTCAAATCATTATAAAGCCCTGGGGTTTTGAGGGTTTTTTTTTGTGTGTGCATTACATACTGAAACTTATATCTAGTCCACAATAGTGTGAAGATTAAATGAGATAAAATATTTAAACTTCTAATAAAATAGGTTAGAATAAAATGAGTGCTCAATAAATGTTAGATCACTACATTAAAATTACCAGCTTGAGTTTCTCTTTTTCTTGCTACTTCTCATTTTATACCAGTGAAATGAATGAAATATAGACAATGTCAAAGAAATTAGAGGATCTATATAAAATACAGCATTAATAATCAGTTTTAGAATTATCAAGTCTTAGCTATTTTTCAATTATTAGTAACTTAAATATCATAATGCACTTTAACATAGAAGTCTAAAAAATATGTTGACTTTTCTGTTAGGGTTATTTATCTATATTTAAAATTCTGAACTCACAAAGTTAGAAGAAATAGAAAATTACACAGCCCACTGGTGTATATCAGAATTCTCTGATGATGGTGATTATGTTAATTCAGAAAATGAGAAACATTGTCTAGTAGAGGGTACAGTGACCCAGCCTTCAAGAATGACTTCAGGGATGAATAATTTGACTTCTGAAGAATGAATTCAAGAATAACTCTTCTATGCCCTGGAAATCATCTCAATATATTCTTAATTTACCATAACCCTAATCAAATACATCCAGCAACTAAAATAATCACACGGATTTGTTCTTCTTTTGTTTCCCTTTGAGTCTGTACATACTAGGACAATTACAATAGAAGAGATACGCTTTTCTCAAAAAGCTATTCAGAGAGGAAGCAAAACAGATTCTGAGCTAGGTTTTGTTTATGGCACTCATCTTTATGTGACATGAAGGATGGCCTCCTAGCCTGAGAGATTGCAATGAGTAGTCATCTTCTTAAAGATGCAAGCCAAGCACAATTGGTTTGTAGGCCATAAAGAGGAAATCAGTAAGTAGGAAACACCTAAAGGAGGTGTGAGAGGGAGTGATTCAATAATGACTCATTAGTTGATACTTTGAGTCATTTCTGAATGTGAGGATCTGAAGTGTTAATGTTTTTCACAAGTGAAATGGGCAGCCACTTTTTGAGTACTTCAATAGCTGTTTTGCAGGGGCAATAATTCTTTCAAACCAAGGGGGTCTTTTATGCATTGAATGTACTTCTGGGACACCTATAGAAATTATTAGATTTCAGACCTGTAGGGTCCTCATGGCTAAACTAACTCAACCTCTTCATTTGTTTTTTTTTTCTTTTTAATCCTCACCTGAGGATTTTTTTTTTTTTTTTTTCATTTATCTTCAGGTAGAGTGGGAGGGAGGGAGAGAGAGAGAGAGAAACATCAATGTGAGAGAGACACATCGACTGGTTCAACCTCTTCATTTTTAAATGAGATTATTAAAGCCAAATTGAGCAAAATGACTTGCTTACGACCATAGACTCATTTGCAGTGTTGTCCTGAAATGGTACCGTGCGTCTGAAAGAGCATCTCACATGGTGGCAGCCAGGGAACAAGTCACGATTGGTCATGTTGGAGAAAGTGAGGTTTGTTGGGCGTGAAATAAATGAACACACTAACATTTAGCTGACCATGAGCTTCTGCAAAGTGGCATGGTGCTAGGACCTTGACATGATTTTCTCATTTGACTGTAACGAGTAATCCCAGGAAATATACACATCTACAGAAAGGAAAATGGGGCTCAGTAATGAAGCGAGTTGCCCAGGGTTACAGAACTAGTTTGTAATAAAACAGGAGATAAAATGTAAGTCTGTCTGACTCACAAAGCAATTGTTGTTGTTTGTTTTTTTTTGTTTTGTTTTTTACTATTCCCCAGGGCCTTCTAAGGGTTTTATTTTTGCTGGGGAAATATGGCTTATGAATATTTTATTTGAACAAATAGGGAAATTACCTACTTGTATTGGGAAGATAATTCATAAACTAGATTAGTCTTATACACTTTTTGAAGTCACAGTTTCTCTGAGACTTGAAAGCTCTGGACCAAGGAGATTAAATTGGTATGAAAATATATATTCAATTTTAAGAGCCTCCCAACGCTAATCCATGATCCCCCTAGAGTTCTACAGACACAGGTTAAAAATTCAAGATTATTTATAAATAAAATAAATCTGAAAATTTACTTGAGTGTAAATAAAATAAACCTGAGGTTGGAAAATCCTCTCCTAAATCTTGAACAGTTTCCAGCCTACCAATTTTTTCTTGTTATCATTGAAAAAAATAGTGATTTTTAAAGTATCTCTATTCTGAAAAATGCCACATTTTAACTACTTTCTCATGTGGTCAATTTTCTCCTCCTTTAAAGAAACTTTTTTTTTTTTTTTTTTTAAGAGGAAGAGGGGGAGAGAGAGAGAGAGAGATAAACATCGATGAGAGAGACCAATGATTGGCCATCTCCTTCATGCCCCCCACTGGGTATCAGGCTCACAACCTGGGCATGTGCCCTGATGGGGAATCGAACCAGCAACCTCTTGGTGTATGGGTCGACACTCAACCACTGAGCTATACCAGCCAGGCCTTTAAAGAAACATTTGTCTCCTAAAGCTATAGGAAACAAACAATATTAGTAATAGTAGCCATATAAATTTTTATAGGAGTAATTTAAACTGAATTACAATCTACAATATCTTTTGGAGATATTCAATGGAAATACAAGACTTTATTCATGTGCAAATAGTACGACTACTAACTACAGAACCACACATAAATAGGCATATATAAGCATCTCTCACATTGATTACATTTACTTACTCTTTTTCCATTATGTTATTTTTTTGCTTTGAACTCTCTGAATCATTGGGAAGAAGACTATTCACATATTTCTTGGCCATATCACACATTATTGAGGATGTGGTAGTCTCTTCATTTTGGTTTTCTGAGCTCTCTTGAATTTCTCTTTCTTTGGTCTGGATGATGTCATGCATCTGTTCCCTGTTGCCATTCATGTTCTCCACAGTCACGTGTGCTAACTGTTTATCCTCTCCATTTTCTGCATTATCTGGGAACATTGTGTCCCGTGACTCCTCTTGCACTGTGACATCTCCAGTCAATGGTGTATTGTTTTCTTTTTCCATGGATCCTGGACTCATGTGTGTTTTATTTTTCTTTAACCCAGCCTGGTGTGTGTGATGACTTTCCTCACCATTTGAGGGAGAAACAGTAGCTGTTTCTATGACATTTTGTTCCCCTCTTGCAGCAATGCCTGTTGCTTTGATATCCTGAATGGCAGACATTGTCTGTACTGGAGTGCATTCATCATGCATGCTGCATAAATTACACATCTGCTTTTCTTCTCTCTTCAGAAGTGTAGCAGTGCTCCCCAAATATTCATTTATTTTCATGAGGCAGTCTATGAAAGTAACAATCTCTACACACACGTACACACAGAGAGACACATAAAAAAGAATAAATGCAAAACGAAACCAAATTATGTTTCTCCACTGACATGTAGTGAGGAATGGCAAGAGCACCTTAGAAACCCACAGAGGCCCTTCCTAGGCAGTTAAGCCAATATCCCTCCTGAAAGAGAAGCCATTTGTACAACTGCCATTCTTTTAACACATCTAGAAATTGGGGACAGATTGCTTTTTAAAGTAGTAAAAAATAGTACATCGAATCATTTTTGCTTGTGAAAATTTTTTGAATAGGGGAAGACAGATATCCCAACCTCCCCCAAGACTGTTCAATTGAAGTCAACTCTCCTTTCGCCATCGCTTATTGGGTAAGATTTTGAGACTTGCTCTTTCTCCTTTAAATGTACTATAATTTATCAATTGTGCACTCATAATTATTTGCCTAAAATGGAGTGAAACACTCAAGATGAGACGGGTAGAGGCATACCACAGCAACATTATTTCTGCTGGTGTGCATGCTATCTTGAGGGGTTATTTTTTGTTATTTTGTTTGTTTGTTTTGCTGTTATGAGAATTGTATTAGGTTTGCACTATTTCTCCTGCAGAGCTTGTGATCATTGGCAATTTTCAAACTAGTCTTTCAAAGAATAGCTCTCGTTATACTGATTCTCTCATTAGAAACAGCAGTGACTAAACAAAGTCAACCCTCTTCACTCTAGTGTAAACCCTCACCATGATCTGATCTGACGTAATCCTCTCATTTCATCCCCATTCTGTTCGTTTCTCCCCTCCGCACAGCTGGGGTCACCTGATGCAGTCTTAGCAACTCTCTTCAGAACTGAATTCTGAAGACTGGAAAATGATGTTCAAAGCCCCATAGCTCAGTGTTTTTAGAATCGTCAATAAATCATCCTTTCACTAGTCTGGACTTAACTTTGGACTCCAGTTCTGACAACTTGTTTTTTGTCATGTATCTGAGAGCCTGCATTTATCTGGAACTTCTGTTCTGATAGCTGAGTCCTTATCATCTTCTTTGAATAACTATTTGCCTAAATATGTTGCCTAGGAGCACATTGAGTTCTCTGTGGAGACTTGAATCCTGGTTATGAGTTCTGCCTGATGATCTCCAGGTCTGCTGTCCTTGGACAGACTTTCCAGATGTCTACCATCTGTCCTCTAGACTGAAGTTCTTAACATTAGCTGCTCCAGATTCCTGAGTAACAAGACCTGCCCACTTGCCTTGACACTATATTACTTAGAACTGATTTTCATGAAGCCACCTGTCTTCTTATCTTGAGTAACTGTTGTTGTCTGAGACCATATTCATTACACCTCATGTTTTCCCTGCTGTACTGAACTCAGCATCCATAACTGGGCCTATTCCCAAGAACCTGAACTCCTCTTAGTGTGTCTATATGGGGTGGGGGTGTCCAATTCCATATCCCAGCTCACCCTCGTCTTTCCAAAGCTTTTTGCAATTAATAGGTTCAAGCTCAAATAAGTCTAAACATAGAACATCATATTTCAATATAGAAAAACTGTTTGTTCAACCTCAAAGTGAGCCTATATTTTCTTACCTTTAAGTCTCGCATCCCGCTGATGATTCCTCTGCCTGGAATGTTCTTTCAAGAATCCCAAATTTCTGGCTGCTTGCCTCCAATTCATTCCTTAAGCTTCAGTTTAAATATCACATTTATTTAGCAAAATTCCCAAGTCCTCATCCTAAAAATGAGATCTTGCCTGCTTCTGGAGTCTTAACACATTTTATTTGTATGTTTCTAATGGAACTGACCTCAATTTTCCTTGCATTGTTGTGCACTCGGGTAAGCTGGGATATGGAACTGTGTCATCTCTCCCTATTATGTTGTTTGCCCCTTGTAGACAGAGACTCTCTCTTAGCCTTCTTGGTAGGCTCCTTATCCTCTCTCAGAATGCCTACCCAGTCAATATTTCTATTTTTTTATTTTTCATTTTTAATCCTCGCCCAAGGACATTTTTTTCCATTGATTTTCAGAAAGAGTGGGAGGGAGGGAGGGAGGGAGGGAGGGAGGGAGATGTGAGAGAGACACATTGATTGGTTGCCTCCCACAGGACCCCAACGAGGGCCAGGATTGAACCTCAATCGAGGTGCGTGCCCTTGACTGGAATTGAACCCGTGACTTATTGGTCTGTGACCCAGTGCTCTAACTGCTGAGTCAAACCAGCCAGGGCTACAGTTCTTAGAGAAAGGATGGATAGAATACTTGCCTTGTCCCCAGGTACCTTGATTCTCCTTGTTGAGCAGCACGCAGAGCTGCTGGCAGGTGAAGCTCAGCGTGCCTGCCGTGTGCTCCAAGAGCTGATGAAGGGCCCCGCTGAGCTCTTGACCCAGAAAGACCACTGTGGCTATCCGAGTGGCCCCACCAGCCCCATCACACTGGTCATGGCCCAGGAGAGCCTGCTTCAGCATCAGGCTCCGTCTCCAAATCTGCTTCAGTATTTGGCCTAGTTTACCTGAGCCCATGTCTTCTGTATCCATGTTATGTTCTAAGAGTAGAATGCTTCTTTCCAGCCAGCAAAGCCTAAAGGTTTAGCAAATTCCAACTTGGCAGTGCTTTTTCCTCCTAAAACCTAGGAGAATATCCAAGTCGGCTAGCCAAGCACTTTCTGGCAACATAATGGTTTATTCAGCTTCTTGTTGACCAGTGAAAAGTTACTAGGTGACCAAAGGAGGGGCGTTCCTGCACCCTGGGTGCCATTGTGTACAGAACAGAGTCATCACAGAGGCAGAGCTAACTCACACAACGCCTTTCTCCATGTCAGTTTTTCACATTCAGGGCCCTGTGGAAGCCCCATAGACTTCACGGTTCACGGGAACAAATTAGAGATTCTGTGGAAAGATGAGAGATTTATTATCAAAGGTAAATTATTTGAATAATACTGTTAATAAGATTCCTTTGTGATACTTAAAAATACTTAGGGATCAAATAACATGGTGTCTGAATTGCTTCAGAATAATCTGGGATTGTGGGAATGGTGTATAGATGAAATAAGATTGGCTATAAGTTAATATTTGTGGAACCTGGATATGATTACATGTGTGTGTATGGGGGAGAGGGGTCTTTACAATTCTAATTAGCATATATATTTTTATATAATTATAATTTTTTAATAATAATGAGTTTTTTAAAAATATTACTTTGCAGGGGCAGAGTTGATTGCCATTGGTTGGGTAAGTTTAATTAGTACCTTTTTTTAAAGTATGTATTTTTATTGATTTTTGAGAGAGAGAGGAAAGGAGAGGGAGATAGAAACATCTATGTGAGAGAGAAACATGGATTGGCTGTCTCCTACATGCCCCACACCGGGGATCCAGCCTGCAGTTGGGCGTGTGCCCTGATCAGGAATCAAACCGGGACCTCTCAGTCCATGGAGAGGATGCTCAATCCACTGGGCCACACTGCTGGGCTAATTAGTACCTTCTTATATGCACATCTGCAATCAGATTGAGGTAGCTACTTGACTTCTTTACTCTCTGATAATTCCCCTCTAATTAGATAAAATGCCCCTTCCCTAAAAGAAAACCAACCTGAAAAGTGGCTTTCTCTGAATGAAGGGGTCTTCACCATGTTCAACTACAATTCAGATACAAGTTCTCGCCTTGCCTTGCCCCTAAGTTGGCACATTATATATGAGACCATTACAATACAAGTCGGTCCCGGGGGTGGGGGTGGGAGGTAGAGAGCTGGGGGTGTGTGGAGGAACCCAGAACAGCCTGCTTCATCCTTTCCGGCCCCTCTCTTCCAATAAAGACAGACAGATCCAGAAGGAGGGGCCTCGCACTCCAGACGGCCCCTGCTCTCAGAGGGACTGGGATGGAATGGAAGCTTTGCAAGGGGAGCCGGGAGGCTCTCTCCTACAGGCATCGTGCTATCTCGTCTTCAGCACTGGAGTTCTTAGATCTACACTCAGGACACCTGCAAGATGAAATGGGGAAGCACAGACCTGGTGAATAAAGAATAAGCGTGAACGCCACAGTCTCAGTGCTGCCCACGCTGCTTGTGGTCAGGAGAGTCTGCGAGAAAAGGGAAGGAGCGGTGTGAGCAGCGATGACTAGGGTGTGAGTGGGGGCTTATTCTCAGGAGAAATCTTATTTGTTAATGACCTGATTCATGCAGTCCACTGATATGAGTGATTCATGATGTACGTCCATATCACACCACGCACCACATTGTTTTAATACTTTTCACACTCTTCTGAATACAAAAGACTTTCTGGTTCAATTTTATTTATTTATTTTTTCTTTTAACTCCTGAAATATGTGTGATTCTCAATAATAATGTATACATGGCTTTAATTCAATGGCAATTTGGAAAACTTCCTATATCATTTACGGTATCTAATTGCTGGGAATAGGGCTCGTTAGAACTTTGGAAAAGGCAGACACATGAATAGATTATTAAAATACAGCTCAGACTGTGTTGAAAGCTTGAGCAGAAGTAGGAATAAATGGTACCATAAAAGCTTTGAGGAGTTAAAAAAAATAATAATAATTATGATTAGAGCCCAGGGAGGTGTGTGAATTAGGAGCTACAGGATGATCAGGATGTGAGCATGCCAGACAGTGGGGGGCAGAAACACTCCAGCATAGGAAGTAATACGATCGAAGGCATGGAGGCATGAGGTGACACAGTGTGATCAAACAGAGGACACAGGGCTCTAGGGGAGTGTTCAGTGAATGAGTCGGAAGTGGCGAGAGAAGAGTGTAATAATTATGGGGAGTCGGGAGAAGCTGGAATTTTGTTTTGCAGACAACAAAGAGAAACTAAATATTTTTGAGCCAAGTTAAAGAGTTAAAATATGACCAAATCTTTGCTGGAGGGATACAGATGGTTTGGATGGTTAAGAAGTAAGAGCCTTGGGGGCCTGTAATAGACCAGCAACAGTGCAGGCCAGGGAAGGGGATGCTTCGAGAGGTGATCTGAAGCAGAGCGAATGGAACTTGCTAAATCGTCAATGAGAGGGAGATGAATAGAAAGCATTGAAAATCCATCCATTCACTTGTTTGAGTAATGGTTCTTGGCTGCTGGTGCCAGAGCTGTGTTTGGTGGCGGACTGTGACTACAACGTTTAGTTTCAGTGACTGCATAGATAGTAAAACAAATGACTGAGTTAAGGAATTTAGGAGAAACATTAGGCTTAGTAGGTAGATAATTTGATTGATTTTTGGATTTCTTGAATTTGAGATAACCCAGGAAAATTTTTTGGAATGTGTTAGCAATTTAGAAAAAAAGTCAGAATAATATTGGCATATTTGACTGTCATCAGTAAGTAAGTGACGAATGATTACCCAGGAGTGGAAGAGATCAATGGAGAATGCATACTATGTACATTTTAAGCACTGAATGAAATATAATAAAATGCTAAATCACTGGACCAATGTACACATTTTTCATTTTGATTTGTAGAAAAGTTCTTTCCCCAAGCAGGGGAGAAAAACCAGAATGTTTCTCCTCAGCCTCATTGACATTCGTTCTTCTCAAGTCTAAACTTGTTCTCTGTCTGGCTTCCCAAGGACATGTAACATTTGCAAAGTGAGACTTGCCACAGGCCACACTGCATTCATTTGTTAAAAGAAGCATCTGCATGTTCCTGCATCTTGTTTTTCAATCAACTGATGTCACTAACCACGGAAAGAACCAACATTTACAGGCAAGATTTGTGACACCCACAGAAGCTGTTTGCAAAAATTTATCTTGATGGGTTTAATATGTGATTAGCACCTTCACTGTGACTACTAGTATGACCTTTAATCTTTTCTTATACTTTTGTTTCCTAAGAATTCTGTTTTTCCACCTACAATAAAGGAATTAGTATGAAGTCTTAAATTCATACGATACATCATGTGGTTGAAAAGATAACCATTCTTCTTGATATTAAAAAGTAGCAAAGTGAGTAGAGACAAAATCCAAGTAGTAGGATAGTTACTTGTTTAACCCCTCAGGCAGATGAGAGTTTTGTTCTCTAGAGTAACTCAACAATGGAAGAGAAAAACCTATCAGTAATGAAATGTTTAGTGTCCTTCCCCATCCCAAAGCTCGCTCCGTCCCTGCCAGATGGTCAGTAATAAAGCACCCAGTCATAAACTCAGTGATCTAAGTATATAAACTTCCAGACCTACCAAAAGGAGCTTTGAGACAATAAGAAAGACCACACAGAAATTCAAATATAATAACACATTTTTAAAAGAGGTATAACGGTAAGAAGAATCAATTTTTTAAAAATCTTAACTATTCACCAGGTGGTCAACGAATATGAGTGCTAGAGAGAGAAAAGAGAAGAAAAGGAATTATCAAAGAAATAGTATTACAAAGTTTCCCAGAAAGGAAAAGACCTGAAATCCCAGACCCAAAAGACCCAGAACAATACATGCAAAGGAAAAGAAAAAAGAAAAAGTATATCTGGTCATAGTATCATGAATAGTAAAAATACCAAGGACAAAGATCCAAATAGCCTCCAAAAGTGGGGGGTGGGGGGTCACGTTACATGAGTAAGCGTTCGATTTCTCAACAACAACACTGGGACATGGAAAAAAATAAAGTTGTGACTTCAATATTTAGAGGGAAACCTCTTTATAATTTAAAATTCTGGGTCCCCCAAAGTCTCATTCAACTGGGCAGTGAAAGAAGGGGCATTTTCAGGTATGTATAGCAAATAATTGGCCTCCTGTGTGTTTTTTCCTCGTGAAGCCATTAAGGGATGTACTCTAACAAAAGCAATAGAGTAGCACAAGACAAAAGTCAGGAAATAGAAAATTCAGCATAGAGGTAAACCAGATGCCTAAAATGAAGTGCCAGGTGACAACAATGCCATGGGCCTTCAGAGCTCTAGTGGCGGCAATCACCTGAGCGGCCCAGGAGGGCTAGAGAACTATGTGATGTTTCACCCTTTTAAGAGAACTTTCGCAATTCTGTTAGAGATTTCTGGGAAGAATTATTGATACCTAAGCAAGTGTAATAAAATGAGACCACTGATCAATTAAATTCTAAAGGAAAGGATCTATAATTATATACTAGCCTTACTATGCATAACATTTACGTAGCCCCAATAACAAGAATATCTATAATGACTTTTACTAAAATCCAGTGACATAACTACATACCAGGATGGGTACAAGGGTGTGTATGTGGCGAATGAGTACAGTAGTATGGATATGAGAGCAAAAGGCTTATTTCTATAGTAGGAAGTCAAATATTTGAAAATAAAAAGAAACTAGCCCTGGTCAGGTGGCTCAGTTGGTTGGAGTGTCATTCCATATACCAAAAAAAAGTTTCACGTTTGATTCCTGGTCAGGGCACATACTTAGGTTGCAGGTTCGTCCCCAGTAGGGCCGTATATGGGAGGCAACTGATTGATGTTTCTCCTTCTCTCTCTCTCTCTCTAATCAATACAAACATATCCTCAAGTGAGGATTAAAATAAATAAAAAATAAATAAATAAGAAATAAGAAACTCATATTTAGGAATCTGGAGGTAAGTT